CGTCTTCCCCCAGTTTTCAGCCAGCACCCACAGGTATACGCCGCGTGCCAGGGACAGAGGGGACACAGAGCTGCCTGTGGCAGTCACCACGAGGCCCAGGCCCCAAGAAGCACAGGGACAAAGGGCCCGAGTCTCTTGCAAAAGATACCGGGATTGTAGCTTGAAGGAAGAAGACAATCCCGCCGGGAAGGGAGGCGCCAGAAGCTGAAACGCAGGGAGCATCTGCACCCGGCTGCAGAGGGACTGGAGAAAGAGCAGGCCAGGCCAGGCAGGCGGGGACCATGATGCCCCAACGGCTGGTATTTGACTGGCAGTGGAGGTCCAGGGCCAAACTGTCAGCATGAGACCCAAGTGGCCAAATCTGCTTCAGAAAATGCTTCTTACAGCACTGAGTACAATAAAGGAAAAGAAAGGCTGGAAGTAGAGACACCAGCTAAAAAATTCTCACCCTGAGTCCACAAGAGGAAGGGTGTGGTGGTGCATGCCTGTAATTCCAGCACTCAGGAGGCTGAGGCAGGAGGGTCATAAGAGATCAGAGTAGGCAAATTAGCCAGACCCCCCCCAAAAAAAAAAAACAGAGAGATACAGAGACACAAGACAGACAGACAGATAGACAGCAGGGGTACCAGATGAAGATAAAGAAACAGGCATGAGAAATAATGGGCAGGAGGACAAATGGGATTCAGAATAGGGAAGCTCATGCATCTAAGAATGAGAACAGACTGAACACAAAGAACCAGGTTCAAGAGCAGTCAGATTACAAGGTGATGTCACAGTGCCAGCTCCTCATCGTGACTCTGGGACACAACAGGAAAACCTACAACCACAGCCACCCCTGCTCACTAAGTGCCAAACACTATGCCACATAATCCCAAGGACTCTTTTCACCAAAAACTGGCCTCGGTCCAATGTTAAAGAGCAAGTTATCGCCTAGGAGAAGCAGGGCGGTACTTGGAAAGCATCTAGCGCTCTGCCGGGACAGAGCAAACCCTCACAACGTCAGCTAGCTGTGGTCATTAATATCAAGGCTCTGTGGCCAGACTGTCCTCCCTGCCAATCTCATCTTTTAGTTTCTAGTATATTTCACCTTCTGTCCTGAATTCCACAAAAATAACAAATCAGCTCCTTAACCTCAAGTTTTACTAAGCGCCAAGCAGTGCCCTCTGCCTGCCAGGGCAATGAGCCCTGAGAGGAGTGAGGCACGGTCAGGAAAAAAGCCAGGCAGGAATCTGCCGTCACCGCCACAGTGCCACGCCCTGGTCACTGATCAGCAGCCCCTGCCCAACCTCACATCGGCCCACAGCACGTGGACACTTGTCACCCCTTCCCCGCACTGCCTTCCGTCTTGGCACCCCTCCTTTGCTAGCACACCACATGTCTGTGCAGTCAGGCCACCCTGTTAGAAAGTAGTCTCCATGGGAGTAACTTCTAGCATTCTCTATTTTGTTCTGAGATAGGATCTTGCTATGCAGTCCAGGCTGGCCTCAAACTCCCAACAATCCTCCTGCCTCAGCCTCCTAAGTGCCAGGATTACAACTTCTAATGTTCTATAGCACAGTAAAGTATCTATGCTTGACAACTATTACTTGTGTATTTCAGAATAGCCCAGAAAGGGTTTTCAATGTTCCCAAAATAAGGAAATGTTAAATGTTTAAGGTGTGGATATGTAAATTACCATGATCTGGTCATTGTGCTTGTATACACGTATTGAAATACTACATTATACGCTACAAATATGCTTAAGTTAGCACTCTGTAGCCAAAAAAATTCTAAGGAGGAAGCCTCAGCAAAAGCATTGCTAATGATAACAGAATATATTAGCTGTGCCTTGGGTGCTAAAGAGACTGCCAAATACGACAGCTGGACTCAGAACAGAATTGCTGCATGTGTGTCTGAGCCACTTCCCCCTCACCGAGACAGAATACCTGGCCCCACAAGGGTTACCTTGGCTCACAGTTTGAGTCCAGGCATGAACAGGATGGCAGAAGGGCCTGGTGAGGAAAAGGCGCTCGACCCAGGGAACTCAGGAAGCAGAGAGAGAAGGGAGGAGCTGGGAACAAGAATTCTTTAGGTCACACCCCAGTGACCATCTCCATCCAGGCCTGCTTCTGAACAGCACCTTCAGCTGCCCAACTCCTCAGTGGGCAAATCCACTGACAGGGCAGGGCAGGGTCCCACAGTCCACCCACTTTCCATACACATGAGAACGGGGGCGGGGGGCTTTTAGAACTAAACCACAACAACAGAAGACCAAAGCCAACTTTAAATGCACATGTCGTATAATCCTCTCTGCACTGATGCTGTGGATTTTTCAAACAGATAAACTGGGGTTAAGATCTAATAAGAAGTATGATATAAAAGAATTTAAACAAAAGTCATAAGTTGGTTAACAAATATCTTATATACAAAAAATCCTAATTGGGGGGGGGTTGGAGTTTGTTTGTTTGTTTTTTAGTTTTTTTCTGGTACCAGGAATCGAACTCACGACCTCCGTGCTTGCCAGGCAGGCACTGTGCCGCTGAGCTAAATCCCCAGCCCATAGGTTTTTTTTTGGAGACAGGATCTTGCTGTGCAGTTTTAGGTTGACCCTGAACTCACTACGTAGCCCAGGCTGACCTCAAAGTCAGTGATCCTCCTGCCTCACCCTCCTGAGAGCTGGGATTATAGGCAAAAATTCCTAAATTAGAAAAACGATTGTTTTGTGTTTTATTAACAAAATGTTCATTTTACTCTTCTTTAAAGCATGCCTGGCACAGTCACAAACAATGCTGTGAAGGCGGCAGCACCCGCCAACCTTCCTCAGAGGAGAAAGGGTCCAATAGTCTTGTTTGAGACCAGCTTAGACTGTGTGGGCTGCCACAGCGAAATACCATACACTGAGAGAGAAACAGCAGAAACTTGTTCTGATGGCTGGGAAGTTGAAAATCAAAACAGATTTGGCGTCAATCAGGGAACTTCCTGGTTTACAGTATCTACTTGTCATGACCTCAACATATTAGAAGAAGCTTGGTTATCTCTTGGGCGCTGTGTGTGTGTGACCAGGGATGGATTCAGGGCCTTCGCATTGAGCTGTATCCCTAGCTCTTTTTTATTTTTTGCTTTGAGACAGGGTCTTGCAAAGTTGCTAAATGATCTAGATTGAGCTTGAAGCAGTAGTCTTCCTGCCTCAACCTCCCCTAGTGTTCGAATTACAGGCCTGTGCCACCACACATACACTTTAGGAGCTACTCTGAAGCGAACAGACCAACAGTTATTAGCTTGGGGAAACAGTCCTAAATTACAGCCAACATTCAGCATACGTCTAACGTTTTATATTCAATTTCTTTTAATATTAACAAAACTGTACATAAAGACTCCTTCCAAAAGCAATAAATAGTAGTCTTGCTCACTGAGGGCAGGCCTCCTAAGAATCACAACGCTGTGGCGTTAATAGGAGGAACAAAACTCGCAAAACTCTTTTTTGAAACTATTACTGTTGCCCTAAGCTTTTGTGGAAGAAGATACTGGTTTTCGTTTTCGGCATTCATAGAACATTTATATCTACCTCATTCCTTAATCTCCGCAGCACTATAATGAAGTTCCCTCGGTACAATAGTTCCTATTTGTACAGCGTAGCCGGATACGAAGGTAGAGGGGAATGAACACAGGTTTAGACCTAATGCCAGTCAGACCCGACTTCCCACAAGGACGAGCCCCTTCCAGGCGCGAGCGGGAGGGCGGAGCGCGGGACGCGCTGGCGCAGCCAAGCGCTCTGCTGGGAGGGGAAGAGTGGGGTGTTCGCAGAAAACCAAGGCCGGGTTCTCTTTCCACTCTGTTTTTACGAGCAGAAAAAACACGATCACTGCACAAACACAGCGAGAGGACGAGGCCTTTGTTTTCAAACCCCGCCCCTCTTGCAAGCGGTGGAAGCCCGGGTCTGGGGCACAGGAGGCACACGCTCTACGCTGAGCTCCCGCTTTCTAAACACAAATCATTCGATGCAACGAGGCATAGGAGTAAACGGAGGAAAAGAAGTTCAGAAACAGATCCAAGTCCATACGGAGATTTACTGCAGGACAAAGTTCATTCTTTTTAACGGTTCTGGGGAGTGAACGCTGGGCCTTGTCACTGAGCTATGTTCCTAGTCTTTTCAAAAGATTTTGTGTCAGGGACTTACTAAATCGCTAAATTGTCCAGACTGGGCTCGAACTTACGATCTCCTTGCCTCAGCCCAGCAGGGCGCTGGGATTACCCGCTGCTCAGGTCCCTCCGAGCCCTGTCTCTGGCCGGAACGGCATCCCGGCCGCAGGCACTCCGGAGCTCCGGGGCAGGGTGTCCGGCTCGGACTGCCGACGTGCGGGGGCTTTCCACGCGGGGTTCTTCCTCCCGACGCGCACCGCGTCAGCGGC